ATCCACAGCAACAAAAATGCATAATAATTATAATGACTTAAGCCTTGTTGTACCATACCCATTTACCTATACAAATATATACACAACCGTACCCCTACCTACATATCCAAACACTTTCATATACATACTTCCATACAAATACATACATACCTAAATACATACCCATACATATACATGCCCATATACATACATGCACACATACATACACATATGCACATATCCTTCGTCAGTGCCCGATTAGAAAACCCAGGATGTAAACGCCTGTTTGTGTGCAGTTGTGATCATGCATGGATCTCTCCCGTGGAATGTTTCAAAGTGAGTGTGGGGGGACCACAGACGCGACCCGCAAAGCCGGAAGCCGACATAAGGGAGACCAGTGCCAAAGACCCCGAGAGGGACCCCAAGTTCTACAGATTTTGGCTTAAAGTAGACATATCCTGTTTTTAAATCCTTCCTTTTCACATTTAAATCATTCAGTTGGGGACTTTACGAATTGCAACTACAATGCTTTGGTCTGAATTCCTTCTTATTTTAACTTTACCAGCCCCTCCTTCACCCCTTTTTTGGTGTGTGCCTGAAAACAAAAGGTTTTGTTACTGTTCCTTTAAGACTCCTCAAGCCCCGCCCCCCTCCTGCTTCCAGACCGGTCCACTCCAGTTTGAGATGGGGGCAGGGGGTGTTACATTTTCTAGCTTTCAGAAGTGTTTTATTCACAATTTAATTAAAATATGTCAACAACAGAAGACTTGTCCAGCCTTACATGCTGGAGCCAGAGTCTGACCCAGAACCAGAGTCTGGCCCAGAACCAGAGTCTGACTCAGAAACAGAGAAGAATTAAAATGAGGAAAATGTAAGTCCAGACCTTATTTGGCAATTCCGTCGCAAATAATTTTAAGTAATAGACTCAGAAAATGTCAGAAAATAGAGAAAACTGAACAGGCTGAATATTATGGCCTGATGAGGAGAGTCTAAATACAACTTTTCTGACTCCCAGACTCCAAGTACATAATAAAATGAATTTAACAGCTAAAAAAGTGGATTTTGCATGATGTCCCCTTTAAAAATATAAAAAATGTTGCATAACAAATGAACATTGGAGCTTTTTAAGTATTATGAATTTGCCAACTTTAAATCTTTTCATCATGATCAAGGATACAAAAGGAAGGAAAACCTGCGTAAATTATTCAGTCATTCCTCTCACCTTCTGACCAATGGAGCCTTGGCTTCCTGGCAGTCCCGTCACACCTTTCGCGCCCGGCTGCCCAGGTTTTCCAGTTAAACCCAGTTCTGCGTCTTCTCCTTGATCTCCCTGAACACAGAACCCCACTGATCATCGATCAAAAGAGACCGTTTCATTTGCGCTCACTGAAACAGGTGCTGCTGACGGCCTGCTCACTTTGACTCCTTTACTTCCATCTGTTCCAGGTGTGCCATCCATTCCAGGTGGGCCCTCAAGTCCTTCCCTGCCTAGGACCCCATATGGACCGGAAGGGCCCTCTGGACCCTTAGAAAAGACATGTACAGCTCTTTGTGACAAAGCTTGCTTATGGGGTGCTGTTTGTAAAGTTATACAGTCAATAATTACCACCAATATTTTTGTTTTATATAGCCTTTTATACGAAAAAAAGAACAGATTTATTTTTCAAAGTCAGTTTTTCACCATATGATTCATACCTTTATAAATGTCATCGTTTATAAAACTAAATATTTAACTTACAAATTAAATATTTAGTTAACAAGCTAAATATTTAACTTCTGACTTAAATATTTAGTTTTGAGCTAAATATTTAGCTTGCAACTTAAATATTTAGCTACCTACCTAAATATTTAGCTAGCCACCTAAATATTTAACAAATATTTAGCTAGCCAGCTAAATATTTTACAAATATTTAGCCAGCTACCTAAATATTTAACTTCCTAGCTAAATATTTAAGTTGCAACCTAAATATTTAGGTAGGTAGCTYAATATTTAAGTTAAAWYTTRACATGGTTAGCTAAATATTTAAGTTGCAACCTAAATATTTAGGTAGCAAGCTAAATATTTAAGTTAATTATTCAGGTAGCTAGCTAAATATTTAACTTCCTAGCTAAATATTTAAGTTGCAACCTAAATATTTAGGTAGCAAGCTAAATATTTAAGTTAATTATTCAGGTAGCTAGCTAAATATTTAACTTCCTAGCTAAATATTTAAGTTGCAACCTAAATATTTAGGTAGCAAGCTAAATATTTAAGTTAATTATTCAGGTAGCTAGCTAAATATTTAACTTCCTAGCTAAATATTTAAGTTGCAACCTAAATATTTAGGTAGCAAGCTAAATATTTAAGTTAATTATTCAGGTAGCTAGCTAAATATTTAA